CTCAGTCCCCTTTGTAATTTTGCAGCACTGTTACCATCCATTCACTGCCTAAAATGACCTTTTCTGCCACTTGGATGGGTTCTTGGGAAGAAAAGAAAGAAGATATATAGTTTATCACCATTTTCCATTAAAGCCTTTTTAAAGCGCTCTTAGCCACAGGATTCTGTACCTTGAACATCTCTAACCATGCGGTTCTTTCTTTCCAGTGGAAAAACCGTTCAACATTATCAAACAATTGGGGAGACATTAAATGAGCCAGTTCCAGTAAATTTGTCAGCAGCATGTACAAATCCTTTATGGGACTTGATTTTATACGATGTCAGAGCACTCCATACACTTACAAAGAGCTGGGTAGTTTTGCTGCCCTTACGTTGATAGTGTGTTGCAAGTTAGTTAAACGACACATACTGTGAGTAGGCTCTTTGACAGTAAATGGAATGGTGACCTCACAGAAATGGGGGTGGGGTTTTGTAGTAAGGTTGAGGATGACTTATGATGCTGTTAAGTTTTGTTTTTGAAAAAGTCACAGTTCACATGAGGGTGAAATTTTCATCACTGTACACACAGACAATCCTTATTAAACTAATGTGAAACGATGAAACAAAACTAACAGTATAATTATACAAACAAGAATGGTGGCTATTGAAATGCACGATAAGCTAAAGCAATCATTGAGAAGGAACTGTCTTTGGGAAGCTGTGGGCACATGGCCTCTCCTTGCAGGTGTGCCGTGGGGTGGCTCTGCGGCCGAGCATGTGGCCTCTCCGTGCAGGTGTGCCGTGGAGTGGCTCTGCAGCCGAGCACGTGGCCTCCATGCTGGTGTGCTGTGGTGGCTCTGCGGCCGAGCACGTGGCCTCCGTGCTGGTGTGCTGTGGTGGCTCTGCGGCCGAGCACGTGGCCTCCGTGCTGGTGTGCTGTGGTGGCTCTGCGGCCGAGCACGTGGCCTCCGTGCTGGTGTGCTGTGGTGGCTCTGCGGCCGAGCACGTGGCCTCCGTGCTGGTGTGCTGTGGTGGCTCTGCGGCCGAGCACGTGGCCTCCGTGCTGGTGTGCTGTGGTGGCTCTGCGGCCGAGCACGTGGCCTCTGTGCAGGTGTGCCGCGGGGTGGCTCTATGGCCGAGCACGTGGCCTCTCTATGCAGGTGTGCGTGGGGTGGCTCTATGGCCGAGCACGTGGCCTCTCTATGCAGGTGTGCTGCGGGGTAGCTCTGTGGCCGAGCACGGAAGCCACACTCCTTGGTTCTGAATTAGACCTCTGTCAACCCTAGTTATACCCCACATGTAGGTGATGAATTCTGAATTTTAGGGCCCCTCAATAATTCACTTTACAGGTTTCCATTGACTAGCCAGGGTTGTATTGGAAAAAGAAAGGCTGTGCAATTTTACTGGTTAAGCGCCAGAGAAAGGACTGGGCTGGGGTTAGTTCACAGTCCTGGGAGGGCTGGCTTTGGACTTCTCTGCTAAACCAGCGTGCACTGAGCATCTGATTAAAGCTCCGTACCTTTCACTAGGAAGATGCCCCCAGGTATATAAACACCATTTTGTGTATAATTTGCATGGACTGTGACCCCTCGGTGAATACCTGCTCTGGGTACAGCTGGGAAGCCGCTGTTTCTCTCCCTTGGCACTCACCCGGCGGTCTTCCCATCTGGACAACAAGCCCACAAAGCCTGCAGAGGCCCCACTTCCCTTTCCGGGGGCTGTGCTCCTGGCCCTCAGGGTGGGCACACCGATCTCCTGAGGACGCCGTGTCCAGCTGTCCTGGCTCCGGCGCTCCTGCTCAGCTCAGTGCCTTCCTCCCCCAGAGGAAGGGAGGTGTAGCGACTTCATGTGCTTGGTCTTTATTTTCGTGGTTGGCAAACGCATTTCATTTGATCAGCGTCTTTACCCCCACCCCCTCCTTTTAGTTATTTCTTGAATGTATTTTTTAAGAAGAGTGTCAGGTACATTGTACAAATGGAGGTTTAGGAAATAACCAACTTGAAGTATTGAGGAGTCTAAGTTAAAGGACTCCTGAATGGAAACGCCGCTGTTGATGTATTTCCAAATGTGCAGCCAACTGCGCATCCTTGGTGTATACATACTGAACTTGGTTGTGATGTCTCTGTTCCGAAGAGAAGTTGACCACAGGTTTTTAATTCCTGCAGCGTCGGTGACAGGCGTGCTCCCAAAGCGATCCTGGTCTCACCACAAGGGTTAGGAGGTGCTCCCTCTCTTTTCTGTCTGAGCAGTGGGAGGTCTCTGTTCCCACTCGCCACTTGCTCTTATCTTTGTTCTTTTTGTTTTGATTCTTGATCCAAGATAGCGCATTTCTTCTGTGCCTTTTAGGATTTCTCCTAGTGAGGGCCACTGCTGGCACGTTCTCAGCTTTTACTTGTTTGAAAACGTCTTCACTTGCTGTCACTGTGAAGAGATTTTTGTTGGGTCTAGTACAGCAGTTTTCAACCTGTGGGTCACGACCCCTTTGGGGGTCACATGACCCTTTCACAGGGGTTGCCTAAGACCATCGGAAAACACATATATAATTACATATTGTTTTTGTAATTAATCACTATGCTTTAATTATGTTCAATTTGTAACAATGAAAATACATCCTGCATATCAGATATTTACATTACGATTACTAACAGTAGCAAAATTACAGTTATGAAGTAGCAACAAAAATAATTATATGGTTGGGGGTCAACACAACATGAGGAACTGTATTAAAGGGTCGCAGCATTAGGAAGGTTGAGAACCACTGGCCTAGAATTTCAGGTGGGCACCATTGGGCTCTCACTGCCCTCTGCTGACTTCTCCCGGTGTTCCTTCAGTTTGCCAGGGAAGGTTCGTCATTGTCCAAGTTGAAGTAACAGTAGTCAGGACAACTGAAAACTGCCCTTTTCTACCATTTCTTCTCTCGATTTTATCATGTTGGTTGTCAAGTCCTCTCCAGCCCTTCACGGAGCCTGGATCCTCAGAGGCACCCAGGCTAGGTTCATTCCTCCCCCTGGACTGTCAGTCACCGAGTCCCGCCCCTCACACCTCTGAGATACCTATTTGATTTTTCCAGTCTCTGCCCTCCCTCTGGCCCCAGATGTCTTCCCAGCCTCTGGTCTCAGACCTCTGGCCATTGCCCCCAGAGCCCTCAGAGCTGCCTTTCTGAAACAGATTGGGTTTTCTTTCTTACACGTTGTCCGTGGTGCCTTCTCCCAAGAGGCCTTCCACCCTCCCTCTCACCAGGCATCTCAGCCAAGGGCATCTCTCTACCCTCCTGCTCCCCAGGCTCAGTGACCCTGGCCCATTCGCATCTGCTCGCTGGTGCCGCTGGCTTCCCTCCTTTGTGGTGGGTACCCATCCTTAGGAGTAATTAAGCACTTGGAAGCCACTGTGAGAGACTGGGGAAAAAGGGTCTTTGTCTAAGCATCCTTCAATCAATTGGCTATTTACTGTCATTCACTTGTCTTGAGCATATCAAGCCTCTGTATCTTGGGATAATTGGTGTCTCTAAACATCAGAGTCTGCTCCGTTGAAATCTTTGTTTAACTCGTGTAATCGATTTATGCAGCTACAAGGTAGAAAATGAGAGTACTTATTTTTTGGCAGAGTGAAGCCTTAATTTCCAATCTAATTAACTTATAATGATAAATATCACTTTAGAAGGAAACACAATTGCTTCATTTAGTCAGTGTGATTATTACCAGCACAGCCAATCCATCCAGCGCTCAGTGACACGCTTGTTTTAGTACAACTAGTTCTGTACTTGCTCTTAGTGCGGGCTTGCTGCAGCTTACACAGCCCCGATTTACCAGCATGGCTGTGGCATTGGATTTCCTTGTGTGAGGAGGTGGTCAGATGGGAACCTGTTGTGGAAGCCCCTCGGCTTGGTAAATGGGGGTCGCACTGTTTTCAAGGGGGCTGCCCGGAGCTCCAGAAAGGCGTGGGGCTGGGTTGCCCGCCCCAGCGTGTCAGGAGCTGGAGTCACAGAATTGCACAGCAGTGGGCCTTTCTGCTCGTCCCACCTGATACCTCTGGTTCCCCCTTTCAGATTTTCACATGGCCGCACTTCCTGCCTGTTTCACCTGCGGATCCAGGCATTGAGAAGGAGCAGGATCTAGCTCTCAGCCTTGTGACGGAATTGCTTCCTGTCCCCAGACCACAGCTTCGTGCCGCTTCCTCCCCACCTTCCCTCTCCTCTTTTGCAAGGAAGACAAAGCCTGCCCTGTCCTGACTTTTCTCACACTCCTGCCACCCTCTGCACCTGCAGTGTTAGCTCTTGCCCACCGCGGATGGCTGTAGCCCTTGTCGGTTTTCATGTGGTTAATTGCATAGCAACTCCTTGGTCCCATCACCGTTGGGATGGTCCTCTTGGGGTCCTGGCCCACGGTGCAGGTGAGTCCAAGCAGTCACAGCTGGGAGGTGGGGAAGGTCTTGGAGAGCAGCCAGTTCTCACCCACAAGGACCGGTAGTGTGGCAGGAGCCCGGGTGGCCTGGGGGGACGTCCTGGTGGCTGGACTGTCTGCACAGTAGGCGCTCCTGCCCACTCAGACCCACCTCGTCTGCACTCCAGCCTCAGTCTCCAGGGCCCACCGAGGGACCTACTGGTTCCTGCCTTCCATGTTAGCGCACAGGTCTGCCCCAGGACTTCCCTTTATTTGGATGTCAGTTTGCTTTTAAAAAAGAAAATATAATTTTGCTTATATAGGTTTGGAAGTGTATTAGTGTGTGGAAACGTTCTCTTTCATAACTTGCAGGTTGAAATCATTCTTACACAGAGAGGGAATGACACGCAGACCTCGATTCACAGCCTCGTGCCTGTGCGTGGAGGGCCTGTGGCTCCTTGGCCTGGGCAGCAGGGGGCGGAAGCCGCCTGGGCCTGCGCAGCTCTGTCTGCACTCACACATGCTCACCTTGCAGGAGGGAAGCTCACACAGGCAGTGCCCGTGGCACATTCCTTGGCCTGTGGCTTGGTGCCCGTTGGCTCTAGTGTGTTGGGAGCAGAAATGGATTGTGGGTGTTCCCTGTGCCTCTGCCTGCCCTGGCAGGTGGGATGAAGGCATGATCGATAATTGTGTATCTGCTTTAAAAAAAACCCTAAGAACACATTAAAAATAATTTAAACTTGTATTTAGGAAGAAGGTTTTTAATTGAGTATTTATTATCAGAGCTCACATCTGAAAGGGTGAAGAAGTATCTAAGATTGAGTTACGTTCATGTAAACAATTGAACCTTTTTATTACACAGAGTGAAGTCTCTCCAGTTGAGCGTGGAGACCTTGAGAAGCAGCTGAAGAAACCTGGCCAAGTGCATATTCCAATGACCTCAGCCCGACACGCACTGACGAAGGCCTGGCCCCAGGAGCAGAGCCGACACAGGAACTGAACTCACCCCGAGGTAGGTCAGAACCTGCAGCCATTGCCAACATTCGCCTGTAAAAATGACTTCTGTTTGATGTGAAGCGAGCACGCCTTCTCACGTGGGCTTTCTTGAGTCACTCCCAGCAGAGGTGGTTGTTGCCAGGGATCCCTCTGCGATCCCCACTAGTCCCCGCAGCCCCTGCAGGCTGGAGCCCTGCTGCCCTCAGAGACTCTGGGGCCTGGAGCCACCTCTGGCCTCAGGGCACCGTGTAAGGGTTGGTGCCGCCTTCAGCCTTTTACCATAAATAATTTTCTTTGAGGTGATTAGGATAAAATTTCTTTACTTCTTATTTTTGGTGACTATGATGAGATTCAGCACCTGCTTTTGAGAGAAGTTGAGACACATATTTGGGGAGTGAAGATGCACCCATGTCTGACCACTGGATTGGGTTTGTGCCTGGAAAGGCCCCGCTGGTCATTTCTGAGTCAGGAAAGGTCAGGAATGTAGGGTAACTGGTTCCCAGGGAGACGTGCACGGAGGTTCTGCTTGATCCTCAGCTGATGCCTTTCTTTGGCACCCAGGCATAAGAGCTGAGGGGGGCAGGGTGGGGTGGGGAGAGTCGAGGGCGGTGTCGAGGTGACTGCCCGTGGCTTGTGCCTCCGAGTGGAGTTTATCTTCAGTCACAGATCTTTGTTTATTTGATCGTGATACGAAATCAGCTTCTCTGTAGCTTTACTTACTGAAAGCTAGAATCCCTGGGCTGGCGGGGTCGGAAGGGGACCGGTGCCTAGTGCTGCGGAGCGAAGTGTGGTTGTGACCCCCTACCTGTCACAGGCTGCAGGTGCGAACGATTGCGTGAGTGATGCTGCTTATGTGGAAGAGCAAGTATTTTTATTTAGTGTAAACGTGTGCATTGGGGAAACGAAGCATTTATAATCTTTTGCACAAATAAATTGTCCTTAAAGCCATAGGGAAAAAAACCAGGCCAGAGGAGCTATCCGAAGCGCATGCTGAGAAAGCAGAGGAGAGGGCTGCAGCGAAGCCGTCACAGCATTCTGAGTCAGGTCTCCTGACTGCGCGCTAACACGTGACTGCACAATAGAGGGCTTGTGTTTCTTCTTGTTTTTCACAAAATGAGCTAATTTTGGCAACAAATAGTCTGATATATATGCTTTTCCTTGTTCAAGGTGGCTTAAAATAAAGTAAATAAACATGATTTTTTTTGGCTAAAAGCCATATTTGCTAGTTGAAGCCCTCATCGCCATAGCCCCATGACATGCCATCAAGCTCTCTCCGGACCCTTGGGCAGGTCTGGCGGGGTCACTGTAGGCATGCGGCCTCCTGTTCAGTGTTGGGCATAGATGCCGCTCTTGCCTTGCTTCTTCCTTAACAAGGTGGAAGTTGTTTCTGTGTCTTCACACGTGAGAGTGTCCCCGAGTTTGGGGCACCTTGCGGGGGACTGTGGCGTTCCTGTGGTGGTTACCCAACTGTGCACATTTGGAGAGGGGCCCACGGGGGCCTGGACTCCTGTTTAACTTCGAAGCCCTCTCAGCGTTTCTCATGGCCCCCACAGCATTCTTTTTCTAGCAGTTACCCAGTAACTCCCCTTTTTATTCTGAAATTCATAGAAGATACTGCTTTATACACGTATAACCATATAATTTTAAAGAGCGCTATACTGCCTGAGTGTAATAAAAGAGAAATTGGGAATTCATACTAAAATAATGTCTGGGTCACCATGTAAAATCTCAGGCACCCCCGCTCTCAAAGGAGCCACTGTGACGGACACCTGTGAAGGCAGGTGGAGCCGGGTGCTGGGCGATGGCGGGAGCCGTGTGGCAGAGCTGGTGGTGGCTCGTGGATTAGCTCCAAAAGAAACAGGTGCAGCCCCTGTCTTCTCACAGTGGTTACGCTTCTGGAACGTGAGTGGGTGTGGAAAGTCTCGTGTTGTACATAACAGTCGGGTCTGGGCGTGGGGACGGTGAACCCCTTTCACTTACACGTGTCCTTCCGTGTGGGAGCGTTTTGCTTCTGGTATGTCCTGCTTGTCCCACGTAGTGCCCTCTGCCCACAAAGTGCCTGGAGACCCCACTAGAATGTGCAGACCCTTCCACACGTGGCTACCGTGGGGCACCATTGCCACCCACCACAGCCACCTGCTGGTGGCCATGGGCTGGGGAAGCTAGTCGACAGGGACCAGCAGGGAGCATAGAAATCCAATCGCCTATGCAGTGTTCGGTGCACGCGCGGTTCTTAGGAGTCTGTGCGTAATGTTCCTCTAGCTGTTTTGTGTCTGGTCGTGACTAAACATAAAATAATGGATGCAGATACCTTCAGACTGATGCGTAAAAAACAAAGGGGTTGGTTTGTAGATGCAGGAAAGTCTGGCATCCTCCCGCCCTTGCTTTTTTTTTTTTCAGTTTCTCTGAAGGCATCTGCCGCAGAAGGCGCTTGTGGAAGCACAGCAGCACCCTCTCGTGGACCTTCCTTGATGTGCGATAGTTCAGAAAGAGGTCCTGGCTACCCCTCAACCCAGCCTAGCTGTGCCCAGCAGCCATGTACCACCACTGACCATGGGCGCGCCTGCCTGGTTTTACAGCCACGGGTGACCTCAGACATGAGCGAGAGCGTTCGATGTGGCCTCGCCACCACTCCCTCGCCTTGTGATGAGAGATCCGTGGGCCCCATTCTAGAAGAAAAAGGCACCGAGTTGCTGGAGAGGGAGGTGGGGTCCCTTGTTTCATTGGCACTTCGCAGGCAGGCACTGGGGAAGGGACAACATGGCCTTTGGACTCAACATGAGCGTCTGGTGGGCTCAGGGTTGTGGTGTCTGTTGGTGCTGTGACAGCAGTGGGGGACCAGGTAGCCTGTCCTGGAGGCAGGGGCAGCGAGCTTCATGGGGTGAGCTGGAACTGAGTCTTGAAAGAAGAGCCTGTTATCTGGGAAGTCAACTGGGGAGGTAGGACCACGACAGGAGAGGCTGTGGAGCAGGGGCGGGGGCAGGAGAGGGCTGGCTGTGGTAGCCTGGTGGGCCTGAGGGGCTGTGACTGTGGGAGAGGTGTGGAGGGGAGGGGCCTTCGGTGGATGCATGTAGGGGTGGGGGAAAGACCAGACCTGTGTTTTGTTTCATTTTTTTAATGAAAGTGATGCTGTCAAAGTGAGACAAATCACATAATTTGGAAGGGCCTTTGATAAAAAGCACTGTCCAGAGCGCTCACCTCCCTAGAGGCAGCATTGAGTTATTTTAAAGGGCTGTGGCTCTCCGTGTTTCTGGATTGGTCAGTGTTAGGACCAGCGGCAGGAATCAGAGGTCCAGCACAGGGAGAGAAGAGGCTTCCCCTCACAGCCGTGTCTGCTTGGTGGGCAGAGCTGGAATGGTTCCAGCTGTCAGCGCCCTGGTGTTCGACCTGCCCTATGAACTTACACACGGTTGGGCGTGTGCTGGAGAAAGAATGACAGAGCCCCGTGCATGGCTCACTTGAGTGACAATTTCAGACAGTAGATGGTGCTATAGGATCGTGCTAAGACGATGAGAAGGTCCCAGGAGCTGTCACGAGACACTTCTGTTTTCATCCCAGTGGACTTACCTTTAGTCATGTGACCATGACTGGCTGTAAGGTGACTAGAAATCTGGGTGCTTTGCCTCAAGAAAGAAGGAAGGATGTTGGTTCTCAGATGGCAGTCCCTGCCATACGCCCTGTTTCTAAAATATATACTTGCTTTTTAAAAAAATAAGTTTTAGACATCATCTGATGACTTTTAGTTCAGATAGAGGAGGATTTAGCTCAATTACACTTCTCCTGCCTTCTCTCTTCCTGTGTCAGGAGTGCTTTTGGCTGAAAGTAGCAGAAAACCTACAATGGCTTAAACTACAGGGGATTTATGTCTTCATTTATTTCATTAAGAGTAATACTTGTATCTTGTTGGCCAGAACTGTGCTGGACATCCAGCTATAGTCACAAAGGAGACAGAAAATGTGTATTTAACTCTCATAGCATCCCTGATGAAGGGGGCAGGGCCACAGGCTTGGGGAGGAGCATGGGTCAGCTAGCAGGGATAGCAGCCTCGTTCCTCTGTTGGTTAGCTCAGAACTGGGTGTGCTTACCCGTCCTTGTTCCCTGGACTTCAAACACCTCCTGGCTCCCACCGTGTGGGACATAGGAAGCACTTTCCCTGCCATGCCCCCTCACCTCTTCTCACTCTTCTTGTTCCCCGGCTCCCGCCGTGTGGGACACAGGGAAGCACTTACCCTGCCGTGCCCCGTCACCTCTTCTCACTTTCCACTGTTCAGCTTCGGGCAGGTTTGTTTTTCTGTTTCCTTTCACATTATCGAAGTAGAAAACTTCATTTTGTTCTGTACCCACAGTTCAATCAGTTTCAGATCCAGAGATGGTATTTGTGTTGTATTCTCATGATCAGTAAATGTTGTTCGTCACAGAACCAAGTGAAATGCATGTGGTTGTATTTTCTTCTCCATGTCCCACACCAGGACTTTTTCTCGGGCAAAGGGAAGGGTTAGCATGACTTCGCTTTTGCACCCTCTGACTGCCGAAAGCCGCCCACATTTGATTTCCTGTCATTGAGCCGTGCCTTTTGGTTCAGTTTTATCATTTCCTGCATCCTCACATTGCCTGGGTGGTAGAGCAGAGGGCGAGAATGGCTGTAGACCTGGCCCTCCCAGCAACACCGTGTCCTGGGCTACTTGCCCAGTCTCCTCGTATGTGCAAGGGGGGTGACTGTGGTGACAGTGAGCCTGATCGAGGTAACCTGTGTCTGCGAATATTGGCCCTGAGCCTCTGTTTTCTCATTGAGAGAGGAACCACATGCTCCCTTTGCTTTCTCCCAGTCTCTTCCAGCGTTTCATTCTGCTTTTTGGAGTATATTCATTCATTTTTCTTGAAATCTCTGTGATGTCTATTTTATTTCTAATTGAGGTTCTGACTTTTTATACAATTTTTCTGGGATTTTTGTTTTTAAGTTGGCTTCATTGAGATGTAAAAACTCACTCATTTCAAGTGTACACTTGATCTATTCTG